TTTTTTAAAGAAGGGATAGAGGGGTTTTAAAGGCTGTACTGGGTGGTTCTAAGGTGGGTCATATAAGGCAGGTAACTGGTTGGGATTGGGCAGAATTTATGACATAAGAGCTTTGGATTGGTGGGTCCAGAAGGGCAAGGGCCTTGAAGTGAGTCTAGATGAGCAAGTTCTCTGTTTTGATAAGTAAAGTGTTTAGTTGGTTCCACCTTAAGAGCCTGCATTTCCCAGAGCGAGCAGCTAGATTATTACCTGGTGCTCGTATTATTTAATGCAAACAGAGGGCTGCGGCTTTCAATTCTCATTATTATACCTTTTTTTTTTTTCATAGAAAAGGGATCATACCCTAACTCACCTATTGAAACTTGCCTTTTCATCTAATATCTTTTGAATATCTTTCCTTATAAATTCATTTTATTCTTTTTAGCATCTGCTTGATAGCCCCTTGTGTCATGACTTGTTTGCCCTCTCACATTTCAGCAGCCACGTGGTGTGTGTAGTGGGTGGGGGGCCCGGACCCTGAGCACGGTGCCTGGCTCAGAGGAGGCACTCAGAAAGGCTTGTTATTGAGAGGAGAGTGTGTCTGAAATCTCTAAAGTGTCATATACATGTAAGGTTTGGGTGGATGCTCGGGCTCCTCCAATGGCTGCATCTTATCCCACCCCAGTTTTGTCATCTCAGGATTGGAAAGATCCAGAAGTCCTTATGTGCACCCAGCAAGGAATGGGGGAGACTGCTGAGAGGCATGCTAGCCAGCAAGCCTGAGGAGCAGAAGGGTGGCCGCCTGGGCGGGGCTCGATGGAGGGGGCAGCTGAGACTCAGGGGCTCAGGGTCCCAGGAGAGAGCTGATGGCATTGAGTCAGTGTCAGTGAGAACAGACCATGAGTTTCAGCAGCTGTGGACATTAGCAACTCATGCTATTAGGACGCCACTGACCAGGCAAGGGACACCTTGTGAAACCAACAAGGACCCAAAGGACAGTAGGAAGGCCACCTCTTCCCATTGCCAGGAGAACATTTCCCACTCAAGCCCCTGGGAATGGCCAAGGAGAAAACATTAAAAAAAAAAGGAGTCCCCGTAGAGGTTTTAAATTGATAATCAGACACAACATTCATGAAAATAAAGCTGATACAAAATGAGGATATAGTTTTTCAAGGAGGGGTGGTAACAGTCTAATGGGGGCATTTAGAAATAACGGGGCATTTCCCCCTACTGTTTATTATGAAATTTTTCCAACAGAAAAGTGAAAAGAATAATTGAACACATATATCCACCACCTAGATCTCTCAGTTGCTATGCTTTTTCCTTTGAGAGTAATTGTTTCATCTAGTTTTTTCTGAAGCAGTTTAAAGTAAATTGCAAACATCCTGACATTCACCCAAACACATCTCTGAAAAATAGGAACACTTTTTTCTGCATAATGTGGGGCATTCCTGGTTGACACTGGGAGCGCTACTGGTACTTAAGTGGGCGAGGGGCAGGGGTGCTCACTGTCCCGTAATGCGTGCTTGCCGTCCGCTCAGGAAGAATTGCCTGGGCCACGCTCCGACAGCGTCACCCTGTAGAAAGCCTGCTGTACAGAAAGACAAACGCGTGGGAGTGTGTGTGCCTGGG